CAGGAGACAGGACTCTTGTGGTCTACAGGTTACGGTGTTCGCCTCTCTTTCAAAGGTCCCGGGTTCGAATCCAAGTAGCGACGGGGAAACAATTTCCTCTCTAAAATGATCTCCTTTCACCTCCTTTCCTGCTCCCTGACAATATTCTATCGTCTGCTTTCGTCTCCACTTTCTTCCCCCACCGCCCTCACCCCCTTTGCCCCCTCCTCTGGGCTCCTGACTCTTTCTGCAGCCTTTCTGCTGTTTCTCCGTGGCTCCCTCTTACTGCTGTTTTTCTGCCACACCCCTGGTTCTCTGAAAGATCTTTAGCCAGCCTTCTCGGGCAAGAGCGAAAAATCTCGGAGGTCCCGTGTGCAAGTTGTGCATTTAAAGATCCCTTGGTGGTCTAAAATCGATAAGAGTAGGCTTCGGCCACCAACCGGTCAAAATTCAAAATTTCCTACCAACTGAAAATGTTTAAGGTGTCCCGTGCGCCCATATGACCTTATGCAGTTGCGAGCTCCGTAAAACACTTACAAAAACAACAAAAGTTTGTGGCATCGGTAGTCTAGTGGTTAGGCTACCGGACTCGTAATCGTTAGGTTACAAGCTCGGGGGTTCGAGCATCCATGCCCGACTTATGTCCTTGGGAAAGGCAGTTTACACCAACTGTACCTATTTCACTCAAGTAGCCGGCCATGGACAGTCATTAACAGATCTGCGCTTATAAAAATGGCAGCTTGAGGTGTAAGCTTCCCAGGAGTTGAGATTGTTTTACAATTCTCTCAGGTCTGCTAGGGGTAACAGAATAGATAGCGCAGAGAGCTTGCTGTTGAGCTGGAATTTGCGCTTTACACATTATGCTATCAAATTATTATAGCCACTCACGGTTTCCGATCCGCCGTCTCCACAGATAAAGTATCTGGCACAGCTAGAGCAATCAGCGTAGTAACCGACAGGGGAACCGTTACAGTTGTTTATACAATATGGCGCCGTGCTCGTCTGGGACTGGTCCGAGTATTGTGACGTCGCGGATTGGTCACTCTGTACTGACGTCACGGATGTCTCTGACGTCAGACTGTAGGTGGAATAATAATAATA